GCTTATTTTCATATTTAACATCTAATTCTTTCTTTCCATTATCAGCTATATCTACATTAGTCTGTACAATTTTAGAATGGTTTAAAGTTTTATCAGACTCCAAAGTGTGTGTGGGAGGTGATGGTGGTGATGATGCTATTGTAGGGGCAGAAGCAGCCTCTCACCTTCTTATCGCAGTCTTGACCTTCGCAAACGATTGCTCCACCCTTGCTAAAACTTGGTTGAGGTTGTCGCAAATGTTGGTCTAGTTCGTTTGCTAACATTCCTGCAATTCTTTTTCTGCTAGCATAGCAAGCTGGAACAAATGGTTTATAGTACAATTTTTTTTATGATAAACAATATCCTGTATTTCATGCCTCAGACCACCATAAAAGCGAACAATTTTATCTTCCATGTCCTCTACTATTCCACAACGTATTGCACACTTTTGAAACTCTGCATAATATTTTTGGATAGACATATTACCCTGCTCTAAGTGCCACAATTTCTTACGCAATTCACGTTTGTAAGGAGGAATAAAACGATCACACATTGCTTCTTTTAGTCTATCCCATGATTCAGGTTGTTGATGCAAATTGCCTAGTTCTCGCCACCAGAATTGAGCAAAATATGTGAATTCACTAGTGGCGTGTTTAACTCTATATATCTCAGGAACTAGGTAGGAATTAAACTATTGTTCTATAGCCATCTCCCAGTCAAAATATTTTTCTCCATCATAAAATCCAACAAAGGATGGCACGATAAACTTACTTCTCATACGTTGATGATTATAGTCTATATGTGATGGCTGATTGTTCTTCATTCGGTCCATCCTTGCAAACTTCTGGTCCATGATTTCCTGCAATTCACTCTTAAACAGAAACTCGTTGTTTGATATTGTTAGAAATCAAAATAAATGCCCTATCAACTGTTTTATGGGTTGGTGGAATCACACTCTCACACGTCTTACCATGTTCTTACAAAGTCTTACCAACACAAAGCAGTGGACGGTACAACCGGTGGCTGGTTCGTGATACCTGTGAGGACGTGTCACCAAGATTACAAGGGTTTTTTTTTCTGTACCGATCTGAAGTATTTATGTGGAGCTTGGGAGACTTAAATATGGTAGCAAGGAATAGCAATAATTTAATTTAGAAATTGCAAGATTGAAAAGTAGTCCAAGCTAGTCTATGTCGCCGGCCTAAACTTGTCCTGGACCTAGTTCAAGCAAGCAACGATACAACTCAGCACAAGGACATAAATGGATGCAAGCACTTCTGAATTTGTTTTTGTTTCTTTTTGTTTACTCTTTTTTTTTGGTACGGCTTTTTTTTTGCACCGCGTTGCCTTTTGCTTTTTTCTATTTTTATCTCTTTTTTGGTGTTTTTTTGCACCTCTTTGCCTTTTTTTAGATAAGTGCTGCACAAAAATCAGGATAGAAACACATGCAGCGGTTTTGGCAAGGAAGCTACTGTGTTGGAAACGAGTGGAACACAGCAGCTAAGATCAAGGAAGTTTCTGTGACAAAGGAAGGAAAACAAACTCTCGGCAACTATCCGATGGTAGGCAAATTCCTTTTCTCTTGTTGCTTTCAAAAGGCAAGTTAGCAACTGATCTACAAACAATCCAATGAGTACGTATGATCAAACAAGCAAAGAGTCCTATCGCTAATTGGAGACAAATAGAATCAAAAGGATTTATACTTTCCAACCAGCGGAAGGAAAACAAGATTGATATTTTATTTTAGATGGAAGACAACTTTGGCCACACAAATATTACTTATCTTTCTCCAACTCATTTAACACTCTCTACGTGAGATGTTCACGTGCTTAACAGAAAGCTATCCTCGGATGTTTGGGATGAGGGAAAACATTTTGATGCTAGATCACAAACAAGACTTGACGCTAGACCAAAACTCGAGTAAACCAACGAAGACACGTAAGGGACAACCGTTCAATAAAGCAAACTAAAATAAAAAATTACAGTGGCACAATGGGTGTTGGGATAAGGGAAAAACAATGATGATCACAAATGTTTTTGTAGGACAAATTTTTGGATTTATGGGACGAAAACAAACACAACTAAACTAGGATAAATGCGAACTTGACGGTATACCTAAAGCTCTGAATACCACTTGATGTGGTCGTGATTCTCGATCTTCTGTCAGGTTCGAGATAACTATCGATTTGGTGAAGATTGACACACCGATCTGGCTTCAGATCACAAAGACCCAAACCCTGCAACCTTAGCACCACGTCTCCTCTAGTTATCAACCGTGTCACAATCCGGTTGACCTCACCAAGAAGGCTAATTCCTACTGCGAATTGAAGAACACAAGTAAGAACAAGATAAAATGCAACTCAAATGAAGTGACAATTTGCAGATGTATGATTAAGATCTCAATGTGGGGTTTCACAAACTGATAACGGCGACTGTTCAAAGACAGATTAATCTAAAGCAAAACCCAAACCCTCACGATGGCTGCGATGGCTGAATATAAGGTCTAAGGGTTGTCGCTCCCCCTGGACGCACCTCCCTAACGGGCTCAAAGATGATACACGGCCCAACGGATCAAAAGCGGTGGCGTAGCACCTGACAGATTCTGGACGCTAACTTGTTTCGATGATTCCTGGTAACTTTGCTGGAATTTGGACCTCAAACCAAAGACATTGGTTAGCTTATGAAATTATCTTTCCATCCAGATATGGATCATCAAAAACGGAGTCCGGATGCGTCCTAGACGTTCGTTTTATTGCAGGTTGGTCCTGAAGGCCAAGGTAGACTCGAATTCGAGTTGGACTTGGCCTCCGGCTTGGCTTGGACGCCCTTGCTGGCCTCCTAAGGAGGTGGCCAAGGATGAGGACGTCCAAGGGCTTCCTTGGTGAGTTTTCTATCTCCTTGGGACGTGCTTCCACTTGGGCCAGGGTCCCAAGGATGAATAACAAGCTTATGATGACGATGTAGCTCCCGACAGAAATAGCAACAGAATATCTTGATGATTTGGAGGCCTTCCCTACGTGATATTGACGTGGGACCAGATCTATTTGAAAGCTTATCAAACAAGCTTTCCATCAAGTGCTCATTGACCTCAATCGCACTCCGGATGAATGAGTTATGGCCTTCCCAATGAAGTATTGTTGGGCCACCGATAAACTGAAAGTTCAACTTTGATGGACTTGCACTTTGAGACACATTTGTATCTACAAGCAAATAATGACATATACATGTGAAACCAAGTGAATTTTACAAAAAATCACTATGCAAATGTAGGAACGAGCTCACCTTATAATCAAAGGTTGTATCCGAAGGTCTCATGTCCACATTAACTAGTACCAGCTAGTATAGGAGTAGTATTTTGCTTTCTAAATAGTTGCATGTAATTAAGTGTGCAATTAACGTGAAGTGTTAGTTATTCAGCGTTCCATAGCCCATTTAATGATTGGAATGGAATGATTATGAAGTTGGTGAGGCCATGACGGTTCTTCTATGGGCTTTTGTATTCTTATTAGAATGATAAGATGATGGCAAGTCCAAGCATTGGAGAGAGAATGAGCTAAGGCAATAATAAAAAAACATAAATGGTAGAGAAAACAAAAAAAGGGAGACTGAAGGAAGATACTATGTGAAACGAGGGGAAGAGATGATGTATAGTTGAGGCTGTGAGTGTAGGTGATTGCCAATTCTAGAAGCCACTTGTTGGCATGGATGGAGTTGTCGGTTGTGCAATTTGCTGCCATAGTAGCATCGTTTGATGACATGAAACTCTGTCCGGTTGACGCGCCTTTTCATGTCCGCACCAAGCTTCGTGTTTTGGTACTCGCCGTACTAGATGGTATCAAGGATCGAAACTACGATGAAAGTAAATTTTGCACTAAAGGGCATGTGCCTCCATGCACATCCAATAGTGATGAGCGGGGGCACATGCCCTTAAAGGCAAAAAAATGTTTCATGAATTGTGGCATTCCACTTTCCCAATCGACACTTCGCTGAAGTTGTGCCCGGGCAATGTCTTCTTCATTGTACAACCCTAGAAAACAAAATCTGAGTAGTTGTCCGATACGTTACATCCTTGAGCCGTTACGGCATTGGGCTTGGTCACGAGGAGGGCACAATCCTAGAACATCACCCTGGATTAGAATGTTCATGATTTTACAACCTGCCCAATACATCCATCTTAATCTCATCCAAACTGCAAAAAAAAAAAATCAATACACGGGTGAGGTGGGTATGGGTGAAACCCATTGATTCCAAAAAAAAATGAATTAAGCACATTGGTAGTTCGGGTAGGGGAAGTGGCCTACTGGGTAGCTCTACGCGAATAGGTCGGTGGCAAGCACTCTGAATAGCGTTGAGGTGGACGTGGATGCCTCGGGCAAGGCATCAACCTTGAGGATTACTCCCCCGTCCTAATATATAAGGTGTAACTACTTTTTATTCAAGTCTCATAATATAAGGTGTGCTCTCTCTAGACACATATACATTAATATAGTAATATTAGTGTTGAGAGAGATAATTAAATATATTTCTGGGTCTTTGAACCAGAAGTGGTTACCCCTTATATTTTAGGACGGAGTGGATAAGTCTATGCAAGGTAGCACTTTACCTCAAATCAAGCTCAGCTTTATCCCACAATTGTGGTGCTTTTGACTCAACTACGAGTCCCATACTCCCATGCACCGATGCTAAAAAATCTGGCTTCTCAACAGTCGCGGCCTGAGCTAATTCAGGCAGCCCATTGAAGATTGAACAACACAAGCCCGTCAGCAGCGCACGCCGGCACGCGGGATTAAGCCCGGTGGGACCCACATGGCACAATGATCCGTTGACCTTAACCGTTGTTCATGACTTCTTTGTTCCCTGCCTGGCGGCCTCGCCCGTCAGCACCGCAGTTCCACCGTTGTTCATGACTTCTTTGTTCCCTGGCGGCCTCGCCCGTATGACACGACGCGCGCACAAGTAAAGCTTCGCCACGGGCACGCCGGCCCGGATGCCACCCGCGCCAGGAAGAGCCCTCCACCTCCATGGCCACGGCCACGGCCACGGCACCGCGGCGGAGGCATGCGGCGACGGGCGCCGCGGCGGGGGAGTGGGCGGCGGTGTCAGCCTCGGGCCAGTGGCGGGCGGAGGCCATCGGGAAGCACCAGCTAGTGCGGCGGACGGGGCTGTCGGCTCGCGACCTCCGCGCGCTGGACCCGGCGCTGTCGCACCCGTCCAGCGTCATGGCCCGGGACCGCGCCGTCGTCGTCAACCTGGACCGCGTCCGCGCCGTCATCACCGCGTCCGAGGTGCTGGTCCCCGGGCCGCGTGACCCCTCCGTCGCGCCGCTCGTCGCCGAGCTCCGCGAGCGGCTCGCCGCCGCCCCCACCGCCTCGCCCGCGCCACCGCGCGCGGTCTCGGTCTGTCGTCTCTGTCTCTCTTGCTTTTCTCTGTCCGAATCCGATCCGTTTGGCTTTGTTAGACTGATTTTGCTTACGCAAGATCTCATCTTTTGGGCGGGTTGAAGGACGGCGAGGTAGGGAAGGACGGGGGCGTCTCGCCGCCGAGCAGCGGCGGCGGCAAGGTGCTGCCGTTCGAGTTCAGGGCGCTGGAGGTGTGCCTTGAGTACGCGTGCAAGTCACTTGAACATGAGGTCCATATCTGCTACGAACTGCTGGGTTTAATTTTCGATGCTCTGGTTATGGAAGCAGTGCTGAATTGCGTATGAACAGCATATATAACCTGTTCACTAAAATCTTTGCTTCCTATACTGTGCATATATTTTATCAGACATCGATGCTAGAGAAAGAGGCATACCCAGCGTTAGATGCACTCATCTCAAGAATCAGCACTCTCAATCTTGAGCACGTACGGCAAATAAAGAGCCGATTAGTTGCCATTTTTGGGGGAGTTCATAAGGTAACGATGTGCTATTAATTTAAGAGCATTTAGGAGTTCATAACGAAGGACGTACTGTACTTATGATTTGACTACCACCAGGTTAGGGATGAACTAGAGCATCTGCTAGATGACGATGATGACATGGCAGCGATGCACCTGTCGGAGAAGGCCGCATTCCAAGCAGCTAGTCAGTCGTCGAGATTTGATATCGGGACAGGGCTGGTCGAAATCGATGAAGATGGGTACTGAATTCTCAATTTGTGATCAGTGGCTGAACACCTAGCTTCAGCACAAGCTATCATTTCCATCCACGAAATCATTAGCGTTTTTGCGAATTAACGATCCAAGCTAGGACATTGTTTTTCATGATGAACGCGCAGGGATGACGACGAAGCAGAAGCAGAGCAAGAAGACCAAGGATCCATGGCCTTCATGCCGAAGATCGACGAGCTCGAGAGCTTGCTGGAGGCCTACTTCATGCAGATCGACGGCACCCTGAACAAGCTCTCAACTGTACGTACATTCTCCTGTCCCTCGTCTCAGAACTCAGATCAATCGATGTGTTCAATCCATGCCGTGCACTGAAGAAACGCTTAATTTCTTGGTTCATTCATGGATTGGTTTGAACTGAAATATTTGAAGCTGCGGGAGTACGTGGAGGACACGGAGGACTACATCAACATCATGCTGGACGACAAGCAGAACCAGCTGCTCCAGATGGGGGTGGTGCTGTCCACGGCCACGCTCCTGATCACCAGCGCCGTCGTCGTCACGGCAGTCTTCGGCATGAACATCCGCATCGCGCTCTTCAGGATCACCGACTTCAACGTCTTCTGGGAGGCCGTCGGCGGCACGGTCGCCGGCGCGGCCACGCTGTTCATCGTCGCCATGTTCTACTACTGGAAGAACGGGATACTGCGGTGACCAGCTCCGCTCTTCTTCAGTGTGAGCTCTGAGCTGCACAGCGTGCTCTGTTTGAGGTGTTTAATTTGTGCAGATAAGTTGAGTTCTGGAGATGAATACGTACAATGCAAGCATGTGCGCCTTGATCGGTGTATGATTAAGTTGAACTTGCAGAATGTTGTGGTGAAATGTTAGCAGAATAACGTGCGGTGCACCGTCAGGTGGACCCCTCTCTCTGAACATGTCAAGGAGAAAACTTGGGCAAGCGTCTGTTAGTTTTCCGGTCGTTCTGTTCCTATTCTGGAATTCGTAATTTTTTTCATACAAATTAACCTTGTGTTTTGAATTCTTCTTTGAGGATTCCTCGTGTTTGAAATTTCAGATTTACGACAAATATTTGTACGTAGTAGTAGTACAAGGCTTGCTAGCGTCCGGAAGGATGGGGCGTCCGGACGGATGGGGCGTCCGGACGCCCGCGCATGCCGACCATTTTCGCGTGTCCACGCGGGACCCGTGCCACCCCGAACATTACCAGCATCAAGAAGAGGGGGAGGGCAGCGGATGCCTAGCCCGACAACAGAGGAGGAGACATCGAGGCGAGATAACAAAAAACGAGGAGAGAGATGTAACACCCGACCTACTTTTAAAACATCCAGATGTAACACTTGCAATATACGTCTGAAGATAGATGAAACACTTGAAACATGCATCTGAAATACTTACAAAAATACCTGAAAAAACACTTAAAAACCATTGTAAAACATACGAAACATCACTTGCAACATAAGTGTGAAACATATGCAACATCCAAATAAAACACACATGCAACATACGTCTAGAAAAACATATGAAACATTGGGAGCATAAGCTCACAACATGCATATGCAACCATTGCAATATATGCAATATCCTGATTTACTTTTACAACATCCGCATGAAACACTTGCAACGTATCTCTGAAACATTAGAAATACTTGAAACATACGTTTGCAACATGTGTTTCTTCCCGTCGTGGTGTCTTTGGTCGATCGTGGGAGACGTTGTCCCAGCCGCTGACGACCTTCACCTGGTGACGCGGTGCACGTCGTGGCCACGACGGGCGAGCGTAGAGTGGGGCGCGGCAGGGGATGCCCGCAGCGGTGAACCGGCGTGGGCGCAGCGTGGCGAGGGATGGCCTCGGCGGCAAGGCGGAGTGGGGCAATGTGGCGCAGGATGGGGGGGCGCACGGAGAGATGGCTGCGACGGCAATGTAGAGTGGGGCGGGCAGACGACCACATGGCGCAAAAAAGCATGTGACGGACAAGAAAGTCGAGAGATACTTTTATGAGAGTACGTACAGAGGGAGAGACTTTTTTTAGATGTGAATTTTTAGATGAGGGTGAACCTCATGTATACAACTTTTTTTAGATGTGAATTTTTTAAAACAATTACATATGAAACAGTGAGCCAGTGACACTAAGATAGGTACGCCATGATTGTCGAGAAGGGCCCTAACGTCTACTCCCTCCATCCTAATTCGTAAGTTTGATTATATTTTAAAAATATTAGCAATATTCTAAATAAGTTTATAACGAGAATAGAGTGAAATACACTGGCGGCCCTTTAACTTATCGGCATGTGCCAGTCCGGTCCACGAACTTGCAAACGCGGAAAATGAGCCCCTGAACTTGTCAAGTTGTTCACCTGAGGGCCATTTCCCATCCGGCGCAGCCTCCAGACGACGTGGCAGCGCCAGCGTGGCGAACAAAGCACGTGAGCCGCACGTTTCTATAAAGAAGATGCTGGGGCGGCCGAGCAGACCGGCTGAGCGGGGTGGGCGTAGGCACACGCGTGAGCAGACCTCCAAGCGAGCTGCCACGGCTGCGCGGCCCAGCGCGCGAGCAGACCTCCAGTGCGGCGGCGCGCGAGGGCAGCGGCGCAGACGTGCATCGCGGCGGCACGTGGCGGGCATGGTCGGCGCGAGCGGGCGCTGCCGAGCCAGACGGGCGTGGCCGAGCGGAGGAGGCGCAGCCCAGCCGCCCGAGCCGTGCAACCACACACCACCAAGGGTACAGCACTGGAGACCACCATGGACGCTACAGCGGTGCGCGCCGGCATCCGAAGTCGCAGATCAGCTGGGGCTGCTCCTCTCTGCCCACCTCGCCGGTCTTCAGCAGCGCGGCCGCGAGCGCCTACGCTGCTCCTCTCCGCTCGGCCTCCACGTACGCCGCCGCCGCCTACCGCCCGCGTCCTCCAGGAAAGCCTCCGCGGCGCTCGATGGATGCCCGTCCGCGGCCCGCCGCTTGCCGCCCGCGTCCTCCGGGAAAGCCTCGCTGTCCGCCGGGAGGACCTCGACGCGCACCTTGCCTCCCTGTCTCTCTGCTGCTACCGCGGCCGTTGTTGGATTGGATGGGTGGCGGTGGTGGGCTGGTGGCATCGTGGCTGGTGGTGGTGGAAGGCTCGCCCATCTCGACGGCGCGGGCAACGCGGAGGCGCCTCCTCTGCTATTGATGCGGTGCAGCAGCTTTCAGCACGCCACGACGGCTGCGAACCGGGCGAGCTCCCTGACGGGGAGGATGCGTGGCGCGAGGCGGGTCATGTTGGCGGCGAAGGCTCGGACGGCGACCTTGGGGAGCGGTGAAGGCTCGGACGGCGACCTTGGGGAGCGACTTGCTGAGGCTGATACCGACTTGGGGACCGAGACCGCGCGTGGAGAAAGGTCTGGAGCTTCCCGGCGACGGACTGCACGTCGAGAAAGTCCAGGCACTCGTGCCGCCGCGAGCTTCCGCTGCCAGTCCCATTGCTCGCGCCAGCGCCTGGGAGGAGCACCGGGCTGCGAGGCTCGACGGCGAACAACCTGCGGCCGTCGGAAGACGGGATCCCCTGGAGCGCGTCGAGTAAGTCGCCCTCGAGCGCGCGGCAGGTGTTGACGACCATGCCGACGCCGAGCACGCGCCGGCGCTCCTGCCACATCCGCTTGGCGAGCGCGACGAACTCCGGGGTGGCGCAGGCGTCAGGTGGGTGGAACACGAGGCCGTGGCGGCGCAGCAGGGCGTGCTCCCGGTCCACCCACCCGTTGTTGTAGGATGCGGCAAGGCAGTGCACGTCGAGGGCCTTGGCGCTGGGCAAGCGCGTGGCCTCGGCCACCGCGAACGCTGCCATGCGGTCGTGGAGGACAACGACGCGGCGGTGGGTCGCGGCGAGCTCCGCCAGGAGCGCGGCCAGCGGGGCCCGCGCGCCGGCGTAGTACGCCTCGAAGAGCGGCTGCATGTGCGCCGGGAAAGGGGAGTGCGGATCCGGGGCGGGGGACTCGTGCGCGGGCACGTCCAGCGCGCGGAAGCGCACCGCTGCGGGGAGGGTGCCGTCCCAGCCGTGCAGGCGCGTGCGGGCCTCCCGGAGGTGCGGCTCTGGCGCCGCGAAGTGGACAGGGAGCCCCCGCGCGGCGAGGAGCAGAGACATGTGTAGCAGTTGGTTCACGTGCTTCGTCCGTCACGCTGGCGCTGTCACGTCGCCTGCATGCCGCGCCGGATGGGAAACGGGCCTGTGGTGAACAACTTGACAAGTTCAGAGACTTATTTTCCGCGTTTGCAAGTTCGTGGATCGGACTGGCACATGCCGACAAGTTAAAGGGCCGCCAGTGTATTTCACTCATGAGAATATATTTAGCAATTCATTTTACGATACTAATTATGTATTAGAAATATGAATATTTTTATATATTTGGTTAAAGTTAAAAATATTTGTTTTTTGGAAATTGAAAATAATACTTTTTATGAGACGGCGAGAAAGTAGGAATTCAGCTTCAGGCTGATATCAGCGTCAGACAACCGTGCTGGCACTGGCATGGGCTTGGGCATGGACGGAGACCAACGACAGATTCTGGTCGCCACGCTTGACGCTTGGCAGTTGGTAGGCAGCCATCGAGTGGTGGAGACCGCCAACTCTCTATCCACTTTTGACAGACCTCCTCTTCCATTGTCGTCCCACCGCCTTCCTCTGCCGTCTCCCTCTTCCTGCGGTCCATGGCTGCAGCAACGTCCTCCTCTGCCTCGCCGCTCCTCCTCCCCTCAGGTATCCTCGCTCGGCCCCCACTTACAGCTCACTTCTTTTCTTGCAATCTCATCTCAGCCCACTTGTCCGTCCGTGCCTGAATGCCTGATGAATGTTCTGCTTGTCCACAGGGCCGAGACATGCCTCGGCCTCGACGGCGTGGCTTCGCGGCGGCAGCGCGTTCAGAAGCAGGGCGCTGAGCTCAGAGGCGCCGTGCTGCTGCAAGGCCGCCGCCGTTGGAAGCGCGGAGCAATGCGGGGCGGCTGACGATTTCTTGATCGGTGGCAGCAGCAGTACCCGGAGGGGGCTGGTAGGAGTGGCCCTGGGAGCCTCTGCCTTGGGGCTGGCAGCGTTTGATGCCGTCGCCGCCGGGTTGCCACCAGAGGAGAAGCCCAAGCTCTGCGACGCCACCTGCGAAAGCGAGCTCGAAAATGTTGGTTGAGTCTCTGTGCGTATATTATTCTTGGTTTATACTCGGTGTTTTTCAGTTGACTGGTGAAAGGACATAATGCACTAATAGCTGCTGGTTTCAGAAAATTGGATAGCTGCCTGATCAGTTAGTAATTCTTCTAATTTTGCGCGATTGAGGTCTCAACAGTCAACATATTCAGCAATATACTTTTCTAGAGCAATGCATAACTGAAATTTGAGATATGATCACCCCATCAGTATGGAGAGACATGCCTTGTTCCAAAGAACATATAGTGAGTCAAATGCTAAATTTGAGTTACCTAATGATATCCAGGTGCCTATGGTAACTACGGAATCCGGACTGCAGTACAAGGATATCAAAGTGGGCGAAGGGCCAAGCCCACCCATTGGTTTCCAGGTTGCTGATCAAGTGATCATGATGTTCTCAAATATGTTTTCTTTTTTGCTGTTTTTACTAGCCATATCCTCCTACATGATTCCACTTCTTGCCACGTAGGTTGCAGCAAATTATGTTGCTATGGTGCCAACTGGGCAGATATTCGACAGGTGGGATTTGGATAGATGATGTCTGACATTCAGTTAGAGAGCTGGCTTTTATCTGTACTTTGTTTACAAAACACAACAGAACTAATTATATCTGATGACCTGTTCACAAATCAGGATTTGCAAACTTAGAATTTGTTATTTGAGCATTTTGTTTATTGGGCCTTGGGGGCGGAAGCCATTCTAGTTCTTATTGTGCTTTGCTGCTTTGTGCAGTTCACTGGAGAAAGGTCAGCCCTACATATTCCGTGTTGGATCAGGACAGGTATAAAATTTCTCCATGTTCGGCTGGTGTCCATGTTCCAAGAACTGGAGTTAGTGATTCATCGATAAATTGATTTGAATATAAAACCACTGATGTCTACAGTATTCAGCTTCACCTTTATCAATGCATCAGTAGACTAAATACATTGCCAAAATCAAGAAAAAACTGAAAGACTTATTTTCAACTTCCAAGTAGAAAGTTTTGAGATGTGTTTCTTTTCTTTTCTTCGTTTACAAACTCATATATATTTGGCAACATTAGGTGATCAAGGGGCTTGATGAGGGGATTCTGTCAATGAAGGTTGGAGGACTACGTCGGCTGTACATACCTGGGCCAGTAAGCATGATAAAACTCAACTAATCAACCACTCCTATGTATAGTTGAAAATGAAGGCAGACAAGATAGCAATCTGAAGAACTTCTTGTTCTGAAGATTTGAACAGGACAGTGATGATTTCCTTTTCTTGATTATGAACAGTTAGCATTTCCTAAGGGTCTTACTTCAGCTCCTGGAAGGCCACGAGTACCCCCGAGCAGCCCTGTCGTTTTCGACGTCAATTTACTGTACATACCAGGTCTAGATGATGAGTGAAAGCATTCGTGGCAACAGTCATCTTTTTTGTATACTTCAAGAGCAACATACTGTACATCTAGAGCAACAATTCTTTCCGGCTATAAAATCTATGCAAGTATATCTGTGTTATGGGCATAGCAAACTATCAAGAATTGGAGCGTTTTAGATCTCGATTTTTCTAGCAGAATGATTAAAAAATACATATTGGCCAAATGGAGCATTCATATCAACCAAGGTGGTGTGCTGGGTATCCAAAAATTGAACATTCAAAACGAATACAAAGGCAAATGGTTATTCAAACTTTAAATGAAGGTGTTTGCCAAAAGCTAATGAGAAACAAATACCTAAAAAAACATAAGTCGAGCACAAAAGAAACCAATAGGGTCGCACTTTTTTTAACAGGTCTAATAGTTGTCAAGGAACCATTCCTAAGTTTGAGGAATCACCAATAAAAAGATGGCAACAGATTTGATTTTAGGAAGATAGATACCCACTAAAATACCAATACCCATATATGTATAATATTGTACACATGAAACAACAAATAGTTGCCAACATTCTAAGCACAACCGATTGAATGCCTCTTAACTTGTTTAGGCCGGCACAAACCCTGCCACATTTCTCTCTCTCAAAGAAAAAGAATGTCCCTTTTAGCAGAACTGGGTAACAAATTTGACTAGGTGTCATAACTTGGTTACAAGGATTTTGAATGTTCAGATGTCGGTGTGTGTATTTATAAATATGATGTAATACAGGGGCTAAAGTGTAAAAGTACTGAGATGAGATGGGGTTCAGTTTCCTCATATGGGTTCTTGTTTTACAACCCTAAATTCAAAATCCACATCCCTCAAGATTGTCAAGTGAAGATGACTACCCTAGTGTCCGATCCCAAGCCAAAGAAATAGCCTATCATGTACGGGCGATTTAGAAAAATGGGATACTCCATCATCATTGTGGGTAGAAGGTTTGGCCTCAAGAAGAGGGAGTCAGGGAGATGAAGCCAAGGAAGAGGCAAGAGCCCTTGCTAGTAATTCATGAATGGACGAGTGGTGAAGATACAAGCTCAAGTTCTAGTGATGAGTCAAGAAAGAACTTTGCCACCCACTCTTCCAAGCCAAGCCTCTTCACTAAGTCATCAACAACATGCCTTATGGCCATGGGTAACAAAAGTAATGTAAGTGATGACTCCTCGGATGAAAAACCTAAACGGTTTGAGCCTCTCATCACATGTCCATGCCGCCTCTTCTTATGGCCTCTGTTGGTATTTATTAACATGTCACTTGTTTAAGTAGTCACTTAAAGTTGTTGACATTTCTTAGCATCACTTTTACTAAGTTATCATCCCTAGCGATGATGCTAGAAATGCTTGTTGGTACTACCTGGTGCCACTTCTAGAATGACACTAAGAAGTACTTTAATATTGCATGTGACTAGATAAAAAATATATAAAAAGGATCTGCAAGCGCACAGATAATATACCATTATAGCACTTTACCCAGGAGTATTCCAGGTATCGTTATTTATATTTTTTACCACAGGGAAGGATGGGCAGTTGGAATATATCGATAACTTATACACATGATGGAGAAATAAACCATAATCAAACTTCTACTCACAACAGGGATAGGTCAAAAGATAAAAGTATATGAATGGTAAGTAATAACTAATCATTGATCACTCAGAGTACTCCATTATATGGCATTAGCATGGCTAAGTAGAATATTAGAGGAATAATTCCTAAGTTATTCTTAATTACAAGTCAAGTATACGTTGAATAGTGCAATTACACTTAGTAGTCATGGTTAAGATCAACTTCATATCTACAAATAAGAGATATTACTAAGAAAAATTAAGAACAGAGCTTGTCTTCCTTCGTAACTATATCCTACTTGTCCTATATTCGGGGAGTGGATTACAAAGGACTCAACAGGAGTGTCACATCCACGATCTACCACATGGCCCAGAATATAGGGTGCATCCGCAGGTAAATAACGTATAAGCACCACGCTTACACAATGTCGACCACTCACCCCTGGATCCATGGAGCGAGCGTTATACGAACTTATGCTTGAACATGATGATAATCTAACTATACTAAACATATAATCAAAGTAGACGATGAACATTATAACTAGAAACATGAATGATATGAAGAACAATGTCATAACAATTGTAGCAAACATATAAAGGTAATGAGAGTTACAAAGGAGAGGGGGTACAAAAGCTATACCAAGCCACGCTCTTGACACGATCAGGAATCCAAGCGAAGCTTGCCTTCCTCTAGACCAAGCCTAGCTAACTATGCCCTAGAATATGGTGGAGCTCTGAGGATGATTAGGGTTTTTGTCTTCTCAAATGACTTGATTAGGGTTTGACGCCTCAAGGGGGGTGGCAGGGGCTGGTATATATAGGCCAGAGCGTCAATCCTGAGCCCTCAAAACAAACCAACTTGAATGAATGGCGTAGATGCAACCTAGAAGGCGGTGGAGAACCGACGTAGCAACGAGAGACTGAGCGGTGGGCCCAGGGGGCTGGACGGTCTATAGGTGAGACCGGTCGATCCCACCTGGCGACCTCTCGCCCTCCACCGCGGTGTGGTGTCTTCTCATGTCTTCTAGATCCTTCTAGTGCTGTTTATGCCATGAATAAGCGCGATTAATTCTAACATATAGGTCCACCTTGACGGTTTTCTAAATAAACCCTCCTGAAAACATAGATTCACCAAAACTCGTGGAATTTATTAGTTTAAACCCCTAAACCTATGTTGGTGATTATATTAATGCCCTTATACATGTTACATTGACGGTTTATAATAGTTGTTAAGTACCGTCAACAAACTCCCACAAGCTTAACCTTTGCTCGTCCCTGAGCAATGCTAAACTCAGCAAATGGATTAGGAGTTGCATCGATATTTTCACTCCTCAAAAGTACACATGTGTTCAAACAAGAATTCTCCTCCGAATTAGAATAAACCGATCTGACTTTCAAACTTACCCATATTACCTTCAACCATGGGGCTTCTTAGCCTTCACTTGGGTCTTAAGCAATTGAAAGACAGAACGATTAAGTCAAGCACTATGTCTCAAGTTCTTTGCTCAACCATTATTCTAGAGTTTTTATAGGTTTTCAAAATAAAATTCAGAGGTTCCATTGTATGACACTCTTAAGTCTCTTAATATATGTGGTATTTGTGGATCCTTACCAAGGCAATAGTGATGTTATGTCTTTCTTTTCTTACAACTAAGGCTTATGTGGAACTCATAGGAGTGGAAATAGCATGAAAGAGCATACTTGCTATACATATATTGTAAAGTTAAACCTCGGATCCAAAGAGAGTTAAATCATATAATCAAATTAAGATGTGCATGTGTATGGATGTATATGGTGGATATATATATATGTGGCTAACCTAATTCTCCTATGCTCCTTTAAAACATATCTCTCTTTTTGGAATTTAGAAACAACTTTGCAAGATAACATGGGCTATCTTATTCATCTCTTCTTCTTCTTTTTCCAGGCGGGCATCTGAATACCCATTGTTTTTAATATTTTGGACACTAATCCATTTTTTATGAATAACTTTTGCATAGCACAATGCTTCTTTTCTGCAACAAAATTTTAGAGAGATAACAACAAGAGTTTGGAGCATTTATTTGGTGGAAAATCCTATCAAGCATATTTTTGGTGTTCTCTCCTAGTGTAGGAGTAAAATATTTTTGGGTGAATCTAGATGAAATGGCATGTTTTTTGCGCCTACCCCTAGTGTAGGAGTAGTGCATATGTGGGTGGTGTATACATGATCTTGATTTTAAGAGCATGACAAACCTCTCATAAGGGTCAACAAAGTTTGACTAAACTCAATACAAAACAAGCAACATATAAGTGAAAGTTTTTTCTAATCTAAATAGCATATATGGCTCTTGGTAGGAATTCAAGCTTTGTCATACAGGAGCTCATTATGTAACATTTTTATGTTTTTTTAAAAGAAATCTCTAGAACTTTAGTATCACTTGGAACAGGATAAACAACAGCTCAGACCTTCTCATATCATATTCGTCAATTACCTAGACTTAGATCAAGCATATGCTACCCACGAATTTCGAGTTCAGAGTAAATTCTTATATCAAAACAGTCTTATCCAAAACTCAGGAGAATTCAAGGCTCAAAACTAGGTACTTAAAAGGAATTACAATAGAGCAACTATTCATCATTTCCATTTTAAAAGATTATCCTCAGAGTCTATTTATTTTATTCAGCTCTTAAAAATAGAAAACTAGACACACACTTTTTATTTTATTTTTATTTTTAAGATCACACCTTATTACTAATATATATAACTAGCTAAGATAAATTTTTATTTTGTTTTAGTTTATTATGCATCTCTTTTTTTTAACTAGCATGAAGCAAACTCACTAATAACAAAAGGGAAAGAAATACTTATCTAGATACATAGAGGATGCTCTTCCCCTAAGCTGGATATTATCATGGTCTCTCTTAGAGCGTTTTTTTTGCCAGTAGTTGTCTTTCTCGTCCATCAGGAAGCTGGGTTTCTCTCAGAGGCTGCACTCTTTGTGGAACAAGATGAAGTTGACCGGGTGAACTTGCTCTTGATCTTATGTATCATCCTGCAAAATGTCACCAAGAACACCAAAACCCGTGGAGCGGATTAGGATAAGGGGTTAGCGGTCAGCCATCCTGAGATTAGTTGTTCTTGAGGTTTAGAAATATTTTTTTGTATTGGCAAGATTTAGTAGGATGTTTATCTAATATTTTTGGATTTTTTATGCATAATGCAATATAACTAGATGTATGCATAATATTTTTGTTTATTTTTATGCCTCCACGGTGAATGTTCTTACGGGTTTTTACACTCCGAGAAATTATTCACGTGGGGTTCAAGATTTTATAATGTAATAATGAGATTTTTATTTTATTTTTTTAAATGCAATGCTCACGCAGAAAAGTAGATATGCTAAAGTGAAAAATAATCTATGCAATGCAAGAAAGTAAATATGGAT